TTGTTGTTGTTGTTGTTGCTCTTGTTTTTTGTCACCCACTTGGCGCGTCAGCAACAGCACTGCAGGGTCTCGACGATCAACGGGACCCAAAGCTAAAGACCAAGTGCCCACGACTCTAAAGGAGAAGTTTAGACAACAAGCAGGTACTTCATCGTCGCCTCGAGGGAAAAGCAAGTTTTCGCTTCTTTGTGCGCGACAACTCGAGAAGACATCAGCTTAGATCGTGTTTGTGATTTACAATAACAGAGGCCAGCTGTATAGGTTGGCTAGCAGGAGCAGCAGCAGCAACAGCCGCAGCAGCAGCAGCAGCAGCAGCAGCAGTAGCGCCAGCAGCAGCAGCAGCAGCAGCAGCAGCAGTAGCGCCAGCAGCAGCAGCAGCAGGAGCTGCAGCAGCAGCAGCAGTAATAGTAGTAGCAGTGATAGTAGTGGTAGTAGTAGTAGAGTAAGTCGTCGTCGTCGGTTTTTGTCACCCACTTGGCACGACTGCGTCAGCACTGCGGGGCCACAAAGGTCACGAGGTAGACTAGGAGGCGACTGTGGATCGTCGTCGGTGGTGGTGGTGGTGGTCGTACCGCTACTATACCTGCTGCTGCTACAACAACAATAACAACGACGACGACGACGACTACGACTACGACTGCGACTGCGACTGCGACTGCGAAGACGACGACGACGACGACGACGACGACCACGACGGCTACACCGCTACACAGCTGCTGCTGCTGCTACAACTACTACGGCTTCTACTACTACTACCACCACTACTACTACCACTACTGCTGCTCCTGCCCCTGCCCCAGCCCCTATCTGACTCATACCGTTTCGGCAAGCGTGAGGAGCCGTCCCTGCTTGAAAAGATGGCGGACAGCCCCTTGCTCCGAAGCAAGAACAAGAGTGTGGAGAGGCTTCTGCTTGAAATGCACCTGCCGGAACTTGATTCTTGCTGCGATGATCCTCGCTCTGATGATGGTGATTACAGTGCGCTTCTGTTTGCACCGTGGATGCTGTTGCGCATCCTGAAACATAAGGAAACCGCGATGGTAATGTTGATCATGGTTGGAAGTTGGAAGGTCTAACCTGCTACACTGCTTGTGTTTGTGTCATGATTCACCACCATGCCGTTGTTTTCATGTTGTTGTTGTTGTTGCATTCCTTCCCCTTCCCAGTTCTCAAAGATCCGCGGGCAGTCGGACAATGCACTGTTTTGATCCAGGTTCGTCCCGTTTCAGGAATGTGTCCGAATCCAGGGGCAGTCCTGCATGTTCCCCGTTCTGAGATTATCCTTTTCTTAGGTGGGCTTGCTAGCAAACCCCAGCAGCCCCAGCACGAAGGGACAACACGAGGTGCAAGCCAAGGAGCTAATGCGCATGGATTCAAGACTCTTTGGCAGGAAAACAAAGGGCTTGCGGTCTAGAAGTGGCTTCTGGCGCCCTCTGAGCCGAAAAGAGAATCCTACTTTTCTCCAAAACAAAGAGCTGCAGATTCCCCTGCGGCCAAGCCCACAGGCATACCAAATTCCTCCGTGACTCTATGTGACCGCGTGAAAAACCGCAACTGGCAAGTTCGCATCTCAGCATTACATACCTGTTATTGTTATTATTATTGTTATTATTAACATTGCTATTATTACTAATATTATTCTTACTATTATTGTTATTATTATTATTATTATTGCTATGGTCTGGCCCTCCCTTTCCCAAAAGCAAAAAAGGGCTCGTGCACCTTCAGGCGCACTTCCCTCGGCCCCGGCGGTGCCACGGTGACGTTCTGAGGCAAAGCTTTGTATAGACATATACACATGGCTTGTATATACATGTTTGCAAATATGCATATATATATATATATACATATATACATATACACATATATACATATATACATGCGTGCATATGTATATATATATATATACACATATAGACAGACATATCTATACCTATACATAAACTTGTACATAAACTTAGACATACGCCTTCGCAAATACATATACATACACATATAGACATACATACATATGTACATACATACATACATACATACATACATACATACATACATACATACATACATGCGTGCATACATACATACATACATGCACGTACATTTGCATACACACAAACAAATACACATACATATACATAAACACAAATAGCAATAGTGATGATGATAAATATAAATATAAATATGAATGTGGCTGTGTATTTATGTGCGTATTAAAACATATGCATTCATTCAAACGCACATATTCAAGGTAACATGCGCCGAGCCGTATACATATGTTTCTTTATTTATCTATCTATTTATCTATATACATTTACATGTATACTTGTAGCTATGGATATGGACAGACAGACAAATAAATAGATCAATAGATAGGTAGATGTTTAAATGAATAAATACATGAAAAAATAAATAGACAAATAGAGAAATAGGCAGGTAGTTAGGTAGGTAGGTAGGCAGGCCGGCAGGCAGGTAGGTAGGTAGGTAGGTGGGTAGAGAGAGAGAGAAAAAGAGAGAGAGAGAGAGATAAAGAGAGAGAGAGAGAGATAAAGAGAAAGAGAGAGAGAGAGAGAGATATATATATATATATGTAGAAATATTTTTTCTTAGAAAGAGAGATACATGAATATAGACAAACAAACAGATAGATAAAGGAAGAGATAGACAAGTAGACAAACAGATCATCAAACACATAAAACCAGAATATGTACTGATAAACCTGCATATGCTGAATGGACATGCGGATATATATATATATATATGTATATGTATATACATATATGTGTGTGTGTCTTTGTGTGTGTCGGTGTACATGCCTCCTTACATGTATAAATACAGGCATGCATACAAGACCATACATGTACAAATTTTCAACATAAATATAATATAATATAATGTAGTATAATATAATATATTATAATAGATAGTATATAGTATACTATACTATAATATAATATACTATACTATACTATAATATAATATAATATATTATATAATAAATTATATAATATATTGTATAATATATAATATAATATATAATGTAATATAATATAATATCTAATATATAATA